ATCAGTCATGAGTGGATATTTAAAAACATCTGGAATCAGGGTGAGCTTAGATGAAACAGAAGAAAGCAAACATAAGATGCACCAGAAAGTGCTACTAAATAAAAGGCATTTAAGTCACAGGGAGGCTGCATAAAGAAGATTCTGAATTATCTCTCTTTAGAATTCTGCAAATTGCTTTGAGAAGGGATATGAAAGAGGGAAATCAAATGCTGTACAGGCACTGGAGGGAAAAGGCACCATGAAGCTGATGTGTACAGGCAAGCATCTTTGTTCCTTTTCTTTCAAATTTATTTCCATAAAATAATAGGAAAACATTTTTTCCTCTCCAAAAAATGAGGAGTCTTCTGTGGGAAGTGTAAGCTATCTACCAATGGAAATGAATTAGTTCAAGAGTTTCAAAATATTGCAGTGATCTGTAACTCATCTTCTTGTCATTTTCTCTTTTCTGAAACACATCTATGACAGAGATCTCTTCATTTTCTCATGTTACTTTATCTGCATAAATGAGTAACATTATGGGTAATTTTCTATTCATTGTTTATATGCCCTTCAAGCACGTAAAATAATACAAGGAGCATATTTATGTGCATCTACTGTATGCACTTCTCACATCTTAATAGCTTCAGTTTTATTCATTTTTTATTTTCCATTTTGCAATAAAAGCTTATTTTTAGTGCATGTTAGATATGTATGGGTGTTTTGCATAAGCAAATTTTAAATAATTATACTATATGTTAAAATTGTGATATAGTTACAATTTAATGAGTAAACTTAATCCATGTAAGGCAGGTTGTCATTATTGTACTTTCTCAATTTTTGAAAATAATGCTAACTAGTAGTCAAATGTTTTTGTTTCTTAAGACATCTAAAATATGATATTGATGGCAAATGTATATTTTCAAGATAATACCTAAAAATGGGAAAAACCTATTTCTATGGAAAATGTCAATTTTATTTCACAATTATTGGCTTATCATATTAAAAGGAGGTTTACAAATAAACGATTTCAGAATATGTGTAACTGGAAAATGCTCAAATGTCTGATTTACAGTACTATATCTTCATCATGTATACAGATATCACTGAAATGTAAATATTTTCAGTGACATCAACAGTACTATATACACTATTTAATTTAAAAGCTTTTTCAGTTATTTTTCAATACTTTTTTTCACAATTTTTACAGATTTTGAGTGGTAGTGAAGGCATTGTGACAACACCATAAAGTTGGGGAAACATTTTAATGTTATTTAAGTAAAATGATGTATTATTAATTGTCAATATTTCCTTATAACTGGTCTTAAGTAGTATTTGGGCATAGCAATAAACTGCTTTTCTGTTTGATTGTTCATTTACATTTATAAATTTTTGGACAGCACAAAATATTCTTCAAAACATTCTCATGTTCATTATATTCATTGTAGTATTATTCACAAGAATCAGATGTGGCAATAACTGCAGTGCCCACTGATGGATGAATGGACTTTTAAAAATGTAGTGTATGTACACAATGAATTACTATTCAGCCTTTAAAATGTAGGAATTTTTGTTATTGGAACAATCTAGATGAATCTAATAGATGTTCTGATAATTAAATAAGCAATACAAAGAAAGATCAATATTATATTCTATCACTTATAAATGGAATCTTAAAAAGTTTAACACAGAGAAGTAGAAAGAAGAGTGAGGATTACCAGAAGAAGCAGGGGAGGGAAAACAAGGAAAGGGGAGATACTTGTCTGAAAGACATCTTGAAACCATGTTTGCCTTCTCCAGATCCAGTCTTGTTTTTTCAATGTTTAATACTAATTTTCTACAATATCTATATTCAAACACTAGGACCAACCAAAAAGGAGGATTTGGAATTTGTTGATCCATTCATTCATTATATGACTTTTTTTTTCATCTGCTGAGATTTAGTAGTGAACAAAGTAGACAAAAGTTCTAAAAGTTTTGCAAAACTTTTGCAACTACTAATGCAACTAGTAGTTGAGGGGCAACATGTGCTTCTAATGGCTATGGAGTACAGAAAGGCTGTAAAGTAAGATGTTGTGCCAGGAGGGTGGGGGTCTGGGAGTTGGAGTTTTAAATTAGGAGGCAGGAAAGCTCTGCTTTAAGGATGATACTGAGCAGAGAGATCTGAATTGATAGAAGGTATGTGCCATAGTCCTATATTAGGAAGAGCACAGCAAGCAGTGAAAATGGCCAGTTGAAAAGTCATAAGTGCACACATTTGCTGAGTTTGAGAAATCTCAGGAGATAAAGATGGACTGAGAGTGTCAGAGATAGGATATTTGGGACATAGTCAGA